CATTCCTGATGATGACATAATTAATGTCGAAATATTGAATCCCAACACGATGGCGTGTATTTCAATACTTGGAGTATGTATTATACTTTCTTATCTGAGATTAATCAGTGGACCTTTCGGTTTATACCCATACATAGGCCTATATTGCCGACCTTAAATCGTGTTTATAGTTATTTACTCACTAATGCACAAATTAGTCACAGAAGATCTGAAAAAATTTTGATACCGGTAGTAAGTTAGGTTTTCGACTATAAGTCAAAACAATTTTTGGATAATTATCACTAAGAGATGCGTCTCATGGAGTTATGGCCTACTAAGCAGGCACGCCCCAGTTAACTTGTCTGTAACCTGCCTGTAACTTCTCTGGGCCCGGTGAAAAGTAAATTATTTGCTTATGGCCCAATTTCAAACAAAACCGTAACTACTGTTGGTTGGCGTACTGTTGTTGTTGTTATTGTTGTTGTTGTTGTTGTTGTTGTTGTTGTTGTTGTGTTTGTTGAGTTCGAAGACGGTAGAATTGAAAATAAAAATTTAATGGTTGCCCCGATCCATGCCTCAAATGCGACTAAATACATTTGGACTAGCCTCGATAACCGATTTGGGAAAATTGTTCCACGAGTCTACCACCTGACATGAAAGAATATACCTACTTCCTATATAAATTCAATCAAAAATGACTTCTATAAAGCTTAAATGGATGACCCCTGATCGGCTGGGTATGTGTAAATTTGAAAAAAATAAAAAAATAAATAAAAAAACAGAACTATCCAATTTGATGAAACTTGAACGATTGTGTAAACTTGGACTACATCTGCTGTCGATTGCCTAAGGAATTAAACCGAGCTCTTTCAATCTTTGACTATAAGGGAGGTCTTCAAGGTTTCGAACAAGTTTAGTGGCTCTTCTTTGACTTTCTTTAACTTGAATGAGCCAACTAAGACGATAATTGGCGAAATTCACCATCCCTCACTGTAGGTAGATCGATTGAGTGCTACTAGACTTTCTGTATTTCTTTTATAGTTAAGGCCCTATACAACAAAGGCAAGAAATATTATTAAAAAAAAGTATTTTTAAAAACTATCTCGCCAGTATAAAATGATGACTGACAGCTAGAATGCTTTCAATTTTTTCTTAAGTATTGTATTTTACAATAAATGAACCGTACCAAGACCTCCTCAAATATCATATCTGCACATGAACTTGAGGACCGTCCATATCTTTAATTTCAATCAAGTTCACTTTTTTTTTTTAGTTTTAAATGTTTTTTCTTTCCCGTTTTTGACTTTCATGGCATAATATTGTTTAGCCTCATTTAATCTGTATTTTAAGGTTTTAATTATTTAAATGTTCACTGCTTTTATATTTTATATATTACTTTGTGTTCCCCTGGCTGGGTATGTGTAAATTTGAAAAAAATAAAAAAATAAATAAAAAAACAGAACTATCCAATTTGATGAAACTTGAACGATTGTGTAAACTTGGACTACATCTGCTGTCGATTGCCTAAGGAATTAAACCGAGCTCTTTCAATCTTTGACTATAAGGGAGGTCTTCAAGGTTTCGAACAAGTTTAGTGGCTCTTCTTTGACTTTCTTTAACTTGAATGAGCCAACTAAGACGATAATTGGCGAAATTCACCATCCCTCACTGTAGGTAGATCGATTGAGTGCTACTAGACTTTCTGTATTTCTTTTATAGTTAAGGCCCTATACAACAAAGGCAAGAAATATTATTAAAAAAAGTATTTTTAAAAACTATCTCGCCAGTATAAAATGATGACTGACAGCTAGAATGCTTTCAATTTTTGTAGTAGTATTGTATTTTACAATAAATGAACCGTACCACGACCTCCTCAAATATCATATCTGCACATGAACTTGAGGACCGTCCATATCTTTAATTTCAATCAAGTTCACTTTTTTTTTTTTAGTTTTAAATGTTTTTTCTTTCCCGTTTTTTACTTTCATGGCATAATATTGTTTAGCCTCATTTAATCTGTATTTTAAGGTTTTAATTATTTAAATGTTCACTGCTTTTATATTTTATATATTACTTTGTGTTCCCCCAATTTTTTTACTATTGAATTGTATTGTATGTTTTTATTATTAGGCTATTATAATTATTATTATTATTATTATTAGTAGTATTATTATTATTATTATTATTATTATTATTATTATTATTATTAATGTTGTTCTTTAAAGTGTTATTTATCATTATTATTATTATTTTTACTTTTATGACATAAATTGCTTGGCTATTGAATTTGCATGTTATACTATTATTATTATCATCATCATCATCATCATCAACATTATTATTATTATTATTATTATTATTATTATTATTATTATTATTATTATTATCATCATTATTATTATTATTATGTTACCAAATGATCGATGACACAATAAACCACTAATAAAATTCAAAAATATGACGATACTTTTGGGAACGATCATTTCAGGCAATGCCTGAAAAATTTAATAAGGCCTAGCCATTGCTAGGCCTTACGCTGCATACATGTTTCGACAGATCCTACTGTCATCATCAGTGTACAAAGATTCCATATAGGCAATCTTATTTAAACGAAGTGAAGTTTGTAATACGTCAATCTATACGTAATTCAACCGTATCAAGTTGTAAACACCAAGGTCATGAATAAAAACAATGTATAATTAAAACGGAATGAAGTAAAATCAGAATGACAAAGTTAAATAACATGGTAAAGTTGTTTGTTGAGTGAGGGCTGCTCCATTGAATATGTATAATGCCTCCTTTATTTTGAGATGATGAATTGATGGGGCGGAGTCAAGAATACGGAAACAGTCCTTGTACAAGTTTGCATGCATTTGCGTGAATTCTTAAGATGTTTTAATATGTGAGAGTTCCATGCGCGAACACTTGGCACATATTAAAAATAAAATACCCAAGGATTTGAACGGAATACCCAAGAACGCAAGACCAAGTCAAAATACCCAAGACCTTGGGTAAATACCCAAGCAGTGGTCACGCTGCTAGCAATGGCTAGGCCTTATTAAATTTTTCAGGCATTGCCTGAAATGATCGTTCTCAAAAGTATCGTCATATTTTTGAATTTTATTATTATTATTATAGTGTTTTTTTAAAATTTCTTTCGCGCTTTTTTACTTTTGACATAAATTGTTTAGCTTCATTTTGTCTGTATTTTAAAGTTTTAATTATTTAAATGTTTACTGCTTTTATATTGTGATTTTGGCTTAGGCCTATTGCCGTTTTGCCGTTTTGACTTATTGCCGTTTTGACTTATTGGTTGAAAAGTGTTGCCGTTTTGGCTTTTTGCCGTTTTGGTCATTACCGTTTTGACTTATTTGCCGTTTTGGTTTTTTTGCCGTTCTGTCCAGAAACCCAGTTTTATAGCTAGTGGTTTGAAAGCGCTTTTATGAATAGTTTTGTCGTCGCTCTCCCACTCGCACTTAGTTACGAAGTCAAGATGGCGATACTTTTGTAGCTAAGTGAATGTAAACAAGACTACATTATCGTAGATTGATGCTGTTGAGGTAATAGTTTTTGTGGTTTTAAACACCACAGTTAACATATAAACACATCAGTAGTATTCCGTTTATACTATATTAGTTTTTACGATTATTTAATCACTTAGAATGGCCTAGGCCTAGCTAGATCTCAGTCATTTTTCTTCTTTTCGGAGGACGGTGCCCACCGGGCAAAATTGTCCTCATCATGTGTGATTGCTCCAGGATGGAATCCGGTTGGGCCTAGCCCTAGGCCTTGGTTTTCAGTATTTACCTTGAATTGAAAGGTAGGCGAGTATTAACCTAACTAACTAGCGTACTAGGTCTCGGCCTAATTGAGTGAAATGACCCTCAACAACCGACACTCAAAATTACTTACCACCATACCAAGTGGCAGGCTAGCTAGGAAAGTAAGTATAACTATAGCCTAGGCCTAGGCTAGGTAGGCTAGGCCTAGCTAGGAGGCCTGGATAGTAGCTAGGCCTAGCCTAGGCCCTCGCTAGCAGCAGGCTCGGGCTAGGCCTGGTGGAGCTGCCAAACATCACTTTATTTATTTATTTTTTTTTTTCAGGGGAGAGGGTGGTGGGTCGGATTTGGAAGGCCTAGCCTAGGCCTAATCTAAGGCCACGAGAATGAAAGTTGTAGGTTGAAAAATTTTGAAAACACATGAGGCATTTTTTCATTTTTCATTATTCATTATTTTTTTTATAAATGCTGTCCACAAGCCGGCATTGGTAATTTTACATTTATTCCCAAGAAACAATGCTTACAGTCATAAATGTACACTAGCCTATAAAACAGATCCTTTTCTACATTTAAGACCTCTTTAAAAGTGCTGGTTAGCCTCAATGCTGTATACACATCTAGATGTGTATAAGAGACAGTCTCTCTCACTTTACATATTTGTTGCTAAATATAAAATAAGTGACAGATTTCTTTTTCATTCTATGTATTTGACAGTGTTTCCAATTTGAACTGCATTTTTTTTGACAATCATCATTCTTTCATTATTTTTTTATATTTCCTTTTATCATTTCAGCAATACAGTAAAATTGATTTTTTTTTTTTTTTATTAGCAAAACCTCGAGATAGCATAATCATGGAAAATTGGTTCTCGTTTTTTTCAGGGTGTGAAGCTTCAGCCTATTAGTTTCTCCAATGTCATCAAATTACTTACGGATCCTCATTCGGTGAGACACTTTTGTTTGTTTGTATTGATGGTAACCATGACAACAATGATAGCAATAATTTATTCATCAATGATTTATTTTTAAATTAAATTTTTTTTTTTTTTTTTTTTAATTTCAAACACAAACAAGAAAATTAGCACTTCATTCTACACTTAAAATGATAACTGAGACTAGAATATAAAAGAAATGCAAAATGGCAAATATAACAAGCTCTGAACTTGCATGTACAATTTAAATATATAAATGTTAACAAATTTTAATTGGATATTTATGATTATAACACAATTCTTTTTCACACTCGCACACTCATGTTGGTTTTTTGAACAATTATGTATTTTTTTCTTTCAGATAACACTTCACAGTCGTCATACTCATGCCCTGCAAAGGCTAATCAAGCATTATCAACATGGATTTGTATCCTTTTATTAGTTTTTAATATTATTTGACACCTCATTGGTTTAAATTTACAGTTGTATACTGTGTTCAATATTTTGAAAGTAATGACTTTTATGTTGTACGTTACTGAATCATGAAATAATTCATTAAATTTTTCATCAAATCATTAAAAAGTGTTTTTTTAACATTGAAAATAGGGAAAATAACAGCATAGCATGGTGTATAGTATATAAATGTTAGTTTAGTGCAATAAAATAGATTTCAACAGTTTTAACATCGCAGCATGTTTTTTTCATTATCCCTGAAAAACGATTTGCGACAAGTGACTGGTTTGGCTTGTCTTTGCCACATATTCATTGATTTATTTTTTGATTCACTGACTTTAAATTTATTTTTTGTCTTTTATAATATAAAAAAAACTCACAAAATGCAATTTGTCAATGTCTCTTCTCCAACTCTGTAAGATTGTTATAATAATACTAGAGAGGTACAAAAGTGATATAAATTTCAGGATAGCACTAATAGTGTTCTGGTGTGTGTTTTCAAAGCCAAGTTCCTACCTTAATGATGCAATACAGCTTTTGAAGGACTTGGTGCAGGTTTTCAAGGTGCTGAATGTGATGGCTGATAGGGTTTCAGATTTGCCTCTGTACCTCACCCCTATGATAAACATCCTGAAAATTTGCAGGTTAGTGAAAGGGAAAATGGTGTGTTTTATCCAACTGCAGTGGGAGCTCTAAGTGTTGAACTATGAATCTGTATATGGTTGAACATTATACTTTTATGCTACATTGAAACTTTCTCGCTAGTGGATTATGCTTGCATGCATAATCAGCCCACGAATTTCACGTCGGCAATTGGCAATTGCCAACCATATTGCCGAGCCAGAATTGCTACAGGACGGTAATTTTTTGCCGACCTAGGCCTAGATTTTTTTGCTTCAAAAACTGCTTGGAAAGTCAAAAACTTTGACTGAAACAGGCTATAGCAGACACTAAATTTCATGTACATCGTCAAACCAAGGAAATTGGTGGTTCATAAAACAGATTTGTTTATACAATAACTACTGTATTTCTAATAGGCATGCAGTACGTACAATTTGTGTACAATCGTCTTGTCTTTTCGCCTAGTCGTTTCGTAGGCTAGGCCTAGGTAGGAATAACGCTAGCCAGCCAAGGCCTACAACATCGCCCAATTGAAGCCATGTGGGCCGCGTAGATCGTAATGCTTATCTAAATCTATTATTTGTCTTCATTTTACAGTATTATTATATTTAAAATGTTGTTTATTATCTGAAAACAACAAAATTTAACATATTGTAGGCCTAATCCTACCGTCCGTAAACGCAATCACGATCGCATCACAAATTCACTACTGACAAGTACACTGTACACGTGTGGAAAATCCCAAATAGATCATTCTGGGCATGCACATGGACATGCATGGGCATTTTTGAAGCAGCCTGTGATGATACGATCGTAGCTTTTTACGAAAGTGATATTTCCCATGCCAAAGATAACAATAAAACAACGCTAAAACAAAATTTATACGGCGATTTCCTTATGTAAAACATATGTATTATACTACACTATTAAATTAATACAAGTACAATACTACCATTCTTTCACCAGCAATATATTGATTTAATAGAGAAATTAACAAAATCACAATCTGTAGATGACGATGTAAGGTCGAGTGTTCGGAAAAATTGTAGTTTATACTATTGGCCTAGGTAGTAAAAAATTGCCGAGGCTGCTGACTTCGGAGAATTTAAGGTCGGCAAACCTAATTTTTCCCTAATTTCATGGGCTGCATAATGTTCTATTAACCTACCACAGTGCATTGTAAATGTGCTGGATGACAAACATAGGGATGTTACATTTTGATGTATAAGGTGTTGTATTGTTGAAATGTTTATTATTAATTATCATACTAGTAATTGGGGTTTTGGCCTGTATGCATGAATGCAAAACAGAATTAATGAGAAAAGGGACTTCAAACTTGGAAAAACAGTTGGGAATATTTTATTTAGATGCTTTTATGTTTCAAGTTCATAGACAAAACAAATCATATATAAAATGTAGATATTGAACTTCTATACATATAGTACAGAAAAAATATGAAAATCTATTTTCATCAAATTTCATGTTCTAACCTATTTTGCCTGGTATCACAATTCAACATGAGGAGCAACATCATTTTGTGGTTGACGATCACATATTGTACAAACTTGACACATCTTGATATATTTAGCCTAGTTTATTGGACAAAATTTACTTATTTTAATCGGAGGGTAAAGACCAATGATGTATTATGCACCTTAATTAAATATTGGACGATTGAATGACTGTAATAACCCCTGTCTCTTATACACATCTAGATGTGTATAAGAGACAGCCCCCACCCTTTCCACTGTCATCAGATATCAGGTTTAGAAATTTCCATGGTTACAGTAGCAATATCCATTACCTGTCATTAGAATTCCCTAGGGTTAAAGATATATGGTCCCATGCAAAACTCAAAAAATTATAAACTCATTTTTGAAATTAACATTCAGATTTTGAAGTAACATCAAGATTTTCAACTTCAACATAGAAATTAGTGTATTTAAAAAAATGTTTACCCATCATTTTACAGCGAAATATAATAGAAATACTTCTAGAAACTCTAAGTGTTTCATTATTTTCATTTTAATTATCCAGTTTAAAAATCATGGTACACATTTTTAAAATTCAATAATTTTTATGTTATTGAATTTAGTTAATAATTAGTATGTTATTGAAAAATGAGCAATTAATTTTAAAAATATTTTTTTATGGTATTATGTCATTTTTAAGGGACAGTACAGTACATTTTTAACAATATGTACTGAGTCATATTTTTGTGCCCCATTTTCCAAATCCCTTCACACATCCTTCACTTATGTTTTTGTGTTTTTTGTTTTTAGGGCATTGAGGGATGCGTTTCTGGCTCAGATGACCCAAGGATATAGCCATTATGACAGACAGCTAAGGTAAGCAAAACCAATCTATAACATATTACCTCCAGATATAATGGACCTTTCCACTAAGCCCCGCCCCTTAGATATTGTTGCTAAGGTCCTAAAAAACTGCAGTACGCAAACGAGTGTGTTTGTGGGACAACACGTGTGTGTGTGTGTGTGTGTGTGTGTGTGTGAGTGAGATACCTGCGTATTCTTGGCCCTGTTATAGTCAATTGTTAAGTTTGATTGACATTCTGGTAAGATCCATTAACAAGAACATGTTCCATTTATTAAGGAGATATTTCATCCAGGTATTGTAATAATAATAATAATAATAATAATAATAATAATAATAATAATAATAATAATAATAATAATAATAATAATAATAATAATAATAATAATAATAATAATAATAATAATGATAATAATAATGATAATAATAATGAAAATAATAATAATTTTATTTGTTTACAGGAATGATTTGTTGGTATTGATATCATTAGCTGCAAGTCACTGTCCACAGGCTCCATTCATAGTAAGAAAGAGATACTTTGCTTTCCTTCAATATGCGTATTTTAAATGACATAAAAAACAAGTAGCCTTTTTTTAAATATCATTTATAATATAAAAAGCAAACAATATCAATAAGCAATAACATTTCATTAATATTATATTAGATAAAAACAAATTTATTTGAACCAGAAATTTCCAACATACCATGAGGATGTAAACTGACTGAGCTTCTATTATTCAGGGCCTAGCTGTTATATTCACACAGATACACGCTATAATACCAACGATTTTTTTTTTTTTTATTGTTGCATGAATGCCTCTGATAGTCAGCTATTATAACAATTTTTTTTTTTATGTTGCATGAATGCCTCTGATAATTAATAACTTGCGTCATTTATTTTTATAGGAATCTGGTTTTGCTAAGCAGTTAATGCTTTTTGCAACTTTCCAAGAAGTTCGAAGCCATAACATGTTGGTCAGACACCTCAAACTGTCTACGGTAATCATCAATATATATTGCATTTATAATATGATATTACAAAAAATATAATATAAATCATTTTCTCAATTATTCATTTTTTTTTTTTTTTTTTTTCCCAGACGAATTTTCTAAACAGTGTTTTATCAGTCTTCTAATTTAACATGTATTATTTTTCACATTTTAGGCATACTTATCTCCATTTTCATCTTTTGGTTTAATGCTTACATTACCAATTATCTATATTCCAGAGTATTATATATATACTTTTTATGATGTCTTATATATTTAGCAGTTTAACAGAAAAGTGTGCAAGTCGAACCTTTTTATGGATGAGAGTAAAATTTTAATTTTAATCCATTGCAAAATAGAAGTTATATCATGATATTACATTTTGTAGAACCACGAGGATTTCGAGCTCAAGAAATTGTTGATGAACGTGATTGTTGTCCTGAGCAAGGAGCCGGCTATGATTCCAATTGTGATCGAGGCTCACTTCCTGCTTGCGTTGCTGACGTATGTTCGCAATAATGAGAACGCTTCGCAGCCTCAGGAGTGGTCGCCCTCACAATTTGAGGAATTGCAACTGCATGCGATGTCGTCACTCTGCACCATTGCACCACAGTGCGTGCAGGATTACATGAGTTACCAAGGCAACACACGTCTTCTGTTGCTCTTGGAATGGTGTGTTGGAAAAGGTCAGTATTTTAAATTCTTTTTCTTCTAATAGAGTTAAAGCTTACCTTAGCTTACTTATCCTCTTCTTTCCTTCTGACACATACACTCTGTTTCCATTTCAATCTGTTGGCTGCTATCACTCCCGCCTCATTCCACGATGTCAATTCCTAATTTTTTTTCTCCCTTTCTAATGTCCTTTTCCATGTAGTTTTTTGGTCTTCCCACTTATCTTTATCCTTAATTGGGGTCGTGCAATAATGTTCATTTTCCTTTCTCAGCATATGCCCTATCCGTTCGATCTTTATTTCACTTCTTGACTATTTATTCCATTGAGATGATATTTGGCTGCCATATTTGCAATATATTCTTCAAGCATTGGTATTGAAATGAGTCTAAGTAAAGGGAATTTGCATATCTAGTAGTATTGATGGGGCTAGTGGAGGTTCAAAGGTGAAGTTGGGGAGACTTAGTGTTTAGGTGGGGAGGGCTTTAGCTTGCAAAAGTGAAATGAAAAGTGATTTTAATTTAAACTTGTGTAATTTTTGCTAAGCATTTTCTACCAGGTGCAACCTAGGGGAGAGCAAGCTTATTTGCAGGGCATACACCCTTATCCCTCATAAATACATCACACATTTTGAGTCATTATGTGACAAATAATTTTTGTCTCTAATCATCTGCATACTAACTGTACAGTATATGTAATACAACCCCCTAATATATATATTTTTTTACTAATGTATTGTTTATGCTGAGGGGCTTGTTCAATAGGAATTTACTGCTCTCCAGCAAAGCCTAGACAATAAGTTTTGGTGGATGTTGTTAAGCTGCAATGCATGTTGATAATAATGGCTTCCATTTTGTTTTACAGATGATTATGGCGGTCATGGAAATTCCTATCATGCATTAGGAGGTCGTGGCAACAAGCGGGCTCAGATGCGCTATTGTTTGCATCTTATGCGCAGCATGGTCTCAGCAGCGGACGAAGCATGCAATCAAGATTTAGTTGACCAAGGCACTATCAACCAACTTTTAGGTAGGCTCTATAATGTTATTTTGTTTCTATGTATTGTGTTATCACCTTTGACCCACTCATTTTACTATTTGATTTTGATGTGATTGCATATTGTTTTTGGTCGCTTAAATGATTTATTGTAAATTGGCTGGAAAAATTGAATGAATTTACTACAGAGAATTATTGATTATTACAATTAATAGTTGATTAATACAATGGATATAGATTAGTAAATATTATGTGTCTATATCAAAAATACAAACCTGCAGTGAAAGTGCATTAGTATATTAAAATATACTTATTAATTATATTAGTAATTTCAACCACCTGTACAATTTATTTAATTTTTTATTACATGCAAAATATACATTACCACAAGAGCAGAGGAAGGAGCAAAAGCTGCAATCTATTTTATCACTGAACTAACATTATTACCAAAGAATGTCAGAAATCATGGGGAATATTCAAGCTTTATTAACTAGTACAATAATTTTATTAAAACTTGGTTTATTAACTCTACACTCATTCACTCTGTTTATATTGTTGGTATTTCAATTATGAAAGAGCTCCCTCTAGATGGAAGATTGAAAGTAGGACATTCAACTCTACTCTGGCTACCATCATTCATGGGTTTGAATGTTTAAATCCACTAAGCTTTGATGCCCACAAAAACATTGCCCTAACAAATCTTCTGGACATTCACCTTCACTATGTTTTCATGCCATAAATAACACTCTAATGTAAATAAGGATGTTACATCTGCACTAAGATTTGACCCATTAACACCTAACAAATCTAATTGTATTTATAAGACCATTCAAGTTCACAAGGTTCGAACACCACCTTAACAAATCTATTGTGTTGTCGAATAAGGACATTCAACTTTACTAAGGTTTGATGCCACAAATGGCAACCTAAAAAGACTACACTGTGTTGCAACCAGAATAAGGATATTTAACTCCACTGAAGCTGGTTTTCCACCAGGCGAATTTATTCACGCGAATCAAAAGCGTCGTACATGTGCATTCACATTTCTGTCAGAGTTTTCGCTTCAACAAAATTGGTAGTTTGAACTGTTTCTACTTTTTGCAAAGCGAAAAAAAAATGCGCAAGCCAATCAGTGCTCAGGAGGTGAACCAACGCTTTCGATTCGCGGGAATAAATTTGCCTACTGGAAAATCGGCTTAAGGCTGTGTTGCAACCAGAGAAAGGGGTTTAATCTTCTGTAATGTTCTCGTAAATATTCATAACAGAACTATGTCCAATGGTGTTGTTTTTGTAGAAATTCTGAGCAGTGCAAGCAGGTCTAGCTTTCCAGATGATGAAGTTGATGTAGAGATGCAGTGTGACATGTTATTTATTCTTTCAACTCTTTGTGACGGAGACCTTCATCGAAAGGTTGGTTCATCATGTAGTTCACACCCATTCCGTCATTTTTATGCTACTGTATATGGGACGGGGTGGGGGAGCGGTCATGAAAAGTGATACCGTAAAAGATGAATAAATACTTAATTATGATGATAGATTTTAATCTGCATTTTATACAATCTTATATCACTGATGATGCATGTATCATATTGATGTGTAATAAAATAAATTAATCCAAGCATAAAGAAAGTTGTACATTTGCTTTTTTAAATGGCTGAAGTTTTTACAATTTTCATTTAAAGAATCCATCTCTGTGGAGTGGAGGGTAAAGTTACCTAAATTGAGTTTAAAGAATGGGAGGTGAAGAATTCTAAATGTTTCTAAACTATTATTTTCTAGTACTTTGTGTTTTTTAAATTCAACATTTTTATACCATATTTTGTAGGAATTATTTGGGAGCAAAGGAGTAGAAGCTGTTTTGCAGTATCTGAAGGTAAACCCAGAGAAGATCTGCTTAGGCTTAGGTCATCATCGTCTTATGGTGGCTTGTGTGGACTGCATCTGGTCATGCGTCATCGCCGCCAGCATTAATGAAGACTTATTTTTGACTGGAGAAGGAGTCTTTCTTCTAATGAATTTACTAGAGGTATGGATATCTACATATAATATAGTGTGACATGCTGAGCTAATGAACTTGAATAATATAATTCAAAATTTTAGTTGATTACAAAAAATGTTAATAGTATTAGTTTTCACATTTGAAATTTATATCCAGAAAAAAGGCTACCTATCCTATTTCAATATTCTGCATATACGGTACCCTTAAAATGGCTGGTAATCTTAGTACTAATGATAATACTTGTATTAATAATATTTTATAATGTGCCATATCTCTATATAAAAAAAAAACTTATTCAGAAATGCAACGTAACTAGCAAGGATAGCCATAACCAGTACTTATACAAGATACTATACAAAAATGTGTTTTTTTGCAAACATTGTAAGAATTTTTTCCAGTTTATATTTTTACCATTGACCAAACTACAACTGCATAGTACAAATCTGTTGTTCCAAAGGCAAAAAAACTGCACAAATATATGTGGCAAAGCCAAACCAGTCACTTGTCGCAAATCATGTTTTAGAGATAATGGCCAAAACATGCTGGAATGTCAACATTTTTTTAATCTATTTTATTGCATTTGCACTAAACCATCCTTTATATATCTATACATCATGCTATGCTGTTATTTTCGCCATTTTCAATGTTTTAAAAAAACAATTTTTATCGATTTGGTGATGGTTTTTGCCTGGGAAATGCCTAAAATCATAAACTTTAAAGGCTGATATCTCAAATATTGTTAAACAGTTGTATGTTTAAACGCTTGTAACTTGATAAGGAAATGTCAGATTTAAATGATTATTTTACCATTTTATAGCTCTCATTTTACTGTTTTGATAAGGAAATATCAATTTTGCGACGAGTAACTGGTTTTGCTTAGCTTTGTCACAAATAATAGCAGTTACATTGTTTTGTCATGGAACTGCCAAAATGACAGAGCATTGCAGAGCCTGTGCATATACAGTACAGTAGCAGTCCAAGAACAGTAAATAGGCAGTAGTGCAGTTTCAGTGTCAATAACTATAATATAAAGCCTTCATGCGTTGTAGGTATTTAATTTGTTCCTAGTCATGTTTTAGTTACTTTGACAGTTTCTCGGTTAATCTGTTGGTGTGTCCGTCTCAGCATATTTTATTTTAAAACCTGATATTTATTTTTTATCAGGTGATTTATGGTTATGTTGTTACTGATATATTTCATGTCAAATGAAACAGTTAATTCATTGTGCATTAAAAACTGAAACAAAAATTCTTTTTTTACACTTTTTATTAAAAAAAAAAACAGCAATAGAAATAGTTCTCAAAGTAAAGTCACTATCATTTTTATTACAGTTTCAATTACCGTATGTTGAATTTTAATGATAGTAGCAAGATGGTAAATATAGATTATTTTGAATATTAAAGTGATAAGTATTCTTTATTAAGAATTTTGAACTTAACATGATTATAGTAGTGATGAAAAATTTACATGTCCCTGATGAAAGTGTGTAACCTGGTTTAACAGTTATAGGCTATGTTCACATACACGGCGTAGGACTGGCGTAGCTTACGGCAGGCGTAAGCTAATTCACGGATTAAAATTCCAAAGTGTTCACACAAACGGCGTTCGCTATATTAACGCTGGCGTTAAAATAGTAGTAATAGGACTATGGGGGAATAGTTTTAAGTTTTAAATAATGTACGGGTTCTTTAACTGTAGTAAAATTAACAGTGTATCAGTAAAACTTCTAAATCTGTGAATTGTTCGAAGTGAACTTATATGATTATTGTATTTTAAATGAAAAATTTTGCTTTGATTTTTCAGCTAGCATTGTTGGTGTTGCAGGTTTTAATACACAGTCTAAATAGGTTAAAATATCTTACAAAACACAATCAATAAATCATATACATTATAACTAAGTAAAATGCAATAGAAAAGGAACCCCTTTACCATTTCATTTATAGAGAGCACAGAAAAGAGACCAAAGTAGCTAATATATTGCAATCGTGATTGGTCAATCTCTTGAAATGAGGTAAAATCATTCAAGCATCACTGGCGTTAGCTAATCTAGGGTCTGCAGGTAGCGTTAATAACGCCAAGGACGTGGCGTAGTGAGTGGCTTTAATGACGCCACTGCTTAGTTCACACACAAAGGCGTACGCTACGCCATGCTTAAGCCAGCCTTACGCCGTGAGTGTGAACATAGCCTAAGTGTTTTTTGAAGAGCTCTGACCTTGCCTAAATACCCTTCAGGATAATTATTTTCAATTAGTGTTCATTTTTCAGCTATACTTTTACAGTTAAATCTCTTCTTTAAATCAAAAGTTATTATCACTAGTGTTGCTAACAGCTGTCTTAATAGTACTTCATTCAGTGTCAATTAATTAAGACTTAAGTAATGTGTTGGAACTTTTTTTGGACTGTACTTAAGACATCTGTGATGCAAACAGTATCTCTACTTACTATCAGTTGAATTGATATCGAAACCACCAGTTTTTCTTTTCAACCAGTGAAATGAAGTACATTCAATTTAAGTTCAGTTGATACTTATCAACGCCAATGGTTTATCTTAACCAGGAGAATGAAGTAGACAACAGTCAACCTGAATTGGTTAAAACACTTTATCCCCCTCTTTTACTTTCTGCAAAAGTTGAACTCCTGCCTTGAGGCAAGAGTGTGACTACTGCTGGGTCAAATATATTAAAGGTAGTTAGGTAGGTAACGGTAGGAGAATAACCCATAACTCGCAGCGTCATTGTGCTGAATTACGTATGGGCATAGTCCGTGACTACTATTTGGAACCATATGATTTTACATCCAACACCAGTGGCTTTAGCCTACTCAATATTCTGAACATCATTATAAGGATTAGGAAGTGGCGTTTAGAGAAACAAAACAAGTATCTATAGGAATTGAATGCATGGGATTAAGACACAATCATCTCAACCACTAATCCACAGCTCCATAGATTCTTAACCCGGATATACAATATAAGATTTTTGTCTGTCAGACTTAAGCGCTGTCCATACTGTTAAATTTTCTTTGACAAAAAAAATGTTGTATGCCCATATATAGCAATGATATGCCTATTGGTCATGGTGCGATGTCATCATGACCATATTTAGACATGTCACATGTTTTTGTCAAATACAATTTGATAGTATGGACAGGGCTTTAGCAGAAAATGTTTGATCAGACTTCGATAGTGTTTGTGGAAACTGGTGGTGCAGTGGTTGCGATTCATGCTTTAGGTTGTGTGCGGGGAAGGGGTTAGGGACGTGTGCAGTCCCTTGATGTGAATTTCACTTCACCCAGGAGTGAAAGATAGGAACTGGGATGTTGTGGTGTTGAATGCTATTTGGTTGTGCATATTTATGAACTGTAGCATGACTCAAGTATTCCCCAGAGATCTTTGAAAGTTGCAATTTGTGCCGGTTTGCCAATGATGGATCCAGAGACCAGGAGCAATCATAATTTACAGTAATAAGTTTCTGTCTCCTATAGCCTTGAGCTGTTTGAGACTATTATGATCTAAAAAATGTTAGTACATGTTTCAGACATATTGTATCTGAAAAAAACAAATTACGTATCTTTTCATGTCTGTTTTCATTTTACTACTCTTGTTTTTCTAGTGCTGTCCAGCTGATATGTACAATCTGGTCCTTGGGTGCCTACTTGATCTCTGTGAGAACCCCAAGTCAGTTGGTCACATGATGGCATGGAGAGGTCAGGAGAACAGGACTGCTTGTAATTTACTTGTTGACATCTGGAGGAAAGAGGAAGCTGCTATTGGGGTGAAGAGGGATGCAAATGGGTTTATTACAGGTATGCATGGGTCACTGCTGGTTCTTGCAGGCCCTACCTATTTATCATCAAAGTTTTATCGTTAAAAACTTCCTCCTCCAACCAATAGTTCTATAGTATTTTACTTGGAAGCATCTATATCCTACACCTTTTTTGCTGTATAAATATTTCTTACGAAGCCATTATAAAAAAAAAAGTAGTTTCTCATCCTAATTTTTTTTTTAAGAGGTTGAGGGCGGTTTTTTTTTTTTTTTTTTTTCCCTTTAAGAAACAAAAAATAAAAGGGGCGAAATAAAAAAAAACATGCTATCTATGTCATTTTAATTATGTTGTGATGTAGTTTAAAATTCATGCTAGAACAATCAAAACAAAACAAATATTTAAATTATAAGCACCTAAATATATACACCTAGACTACAAATGTAAATAAAAAGATCATTTAGGCATTTGGAATGTCAAGCATAGTAGGCTTTCAATGTTCAAAAATAAATCTTGGCCGTTTGGTCCCGAGTTGTATTTCAGCAATGCAACTCAAATTATGTACACTGTTAAATAGTATAACTGGGCCTGGGCCTAGAGTTATTGTACATCCAACCTATACTTACTTGCACTTTCATGTATTTGTCGGATATTGGGCCTTTGCCATCAAATTGGCCACTGTCGTACTCATTGAACACATCTGCCAATGTCAAACTCATCTCATTTACAGAACGACCAAAGTACGGCTTTAAAAATTTAGATGGCGGATCAGTGTGTGCATGTATGCACACAAATACGAATACCATTGCAAGACTATTAAAAAAGAAGCAACTTGACTATAGAGCAAAGATTAGAAACAATACAGTAAATAAAATCAAAAGCTTTTCTTCACGCTTGTTTCTTCTTGTTATTTATCTCGCCAATAGCTTGCTAAAAGTAATGCGGCCCAACACGATTTAGACATGTGATACTGAATACAATGTGTTTATTGGTCAGTTCTCTTTATAATTAAACTGTATGGTACCGCAACTTTTTATTTTACAGAGGATACGCTAATTATTGAAACTGGCGGTCCAACTCGCAGTAGGCATGTATTGATAATATATCCCTATCGGACCACCAATATTTTTAAAAAAATTGGTAGCTGCCAAAATTTTTATCGTACTTGTCGCGGTCTTCACAATCAGTAAACAGTCGAAATGACGAAAAATGAGGTAAACTAAGACAAAATATGCGATCGATTTTTATTGAAAATTGAATATATATAAAAAAAAACAAAAAAAAACGAAGCGGCCTGAAAATAGAATGCGGGCGGGGACGAGAAATTACTTTTTTTTTTTACTTGGCCTAATAAAACTTCCCCTAGGCTACTACACTTGTTATGCCCATTGAGTCCTTCTGTTGATTTACCATTGTAGCCTAGATCCTAAGTTAACACCTAAAACAGTACTTTTAGTTAACAATTTTTGGCAAAGAACCAAGTACTCCACACACTGATAGCATTCAGGTAATCTGCTGGTAGTGAGTAGATACCCATCTGGAAATAAACTATGCTCTATATAGTAACATATTACTTATATATAGAGTATTATACCTTTGTATATGTTCATCAACCCATATTTAATAATAGTCATTTGGATAATTTTGGTAGTGAAACAGTTCTGTGTAACTATGCAATCATTATTAATAACTGTACAGTGTTTCTATTATTATTATTCCAGGCAAGCTTTCATCTAATAATCAGAAGTGTTATATACATTCTCGTCCACATAGAATGATTATTGATTTTGGCTTAGTTCTTCTTCTTTTTTTTTTTTACATACATTTATCATATTAAGGCATTTCTTGTTGCAGTTATATTTTCTTTATAGTCATTCTCAAGTACATATGATTTTAGTTGTCCTAACACATACTCACAACACACCAAAATAATGTCTTTTTGCTAGACCCTGCCAATCCTTTGATGGGAACTCTGCAGGCTAGAGAAGGGGTGGAGTCCCAGCCAGCGGACTGCACAAGCAGAGCCATACTTGATGTGTTCGAGAACCTAAGAGCCAAGATTTATTCTCTCTTCTGCAAGATCGGTAACAATTTACTATTTTGATATGCTTAAATTAAAATTTTATGACTTGCAATGCACGCAAACAGTCCGAGGTTGTTCATTCTCTGTCCTTGTAATAGTTTTAGGCATTGACCTGTTTTCAAGCATTCACAAACCAATTTTATTTTATTGTTCATATTTTATTTTATTCATAAATCAGCGTAACTTTATTTTATGCGATACACATACTTTTATGATATGCAATAAATATGAAAATGTGTTATAATGTAGTTTAATAAGGGTGATGTTTTGCCCTACCTAATGTGATATCGTACCGAATACTCAGTACATTCCTAAATACTTGCAAAAAAAAAAGTATTCAGTATTCGGTATGATAACACCTCAGGTAAGGCAAATATCACTCCTATGATATTTTCCTGATGCAAACGCACATCAAGATGTAGTATATATATAGAGTATCAGAATAGAGGTATCAGGTTGTTGACATTTTAACTGGATTAGAGAAGAAGGAATACCATATCAGCCTAAAGGATTGTGTTTTAGAATCCCAATTGGCAATGTTCTGTAATTTATAAAGTAGTTTTATTGATCAACTGTCATATTTCAGTCGAGATAATGTTTTTAATTGAGCAAATAATATAAGGCCAAACGTCAAGTTGGCATTTTGTCATAAAATCAACCATGGTTTGTAATGCTTGACAACAATGTTTTTGAGACTTTATTTGACTTTGAAATACAACTAACAAGATAGTTTTTTTTTTCATAGTTTCAATTTCATTATTTTATATAGCTGATTACATGGATGATTACATAATTTTTATCTGTCAAAATCTATATCCAGATTTCGTGGAAGCGTATTTCATCATGTCATACTTAGAAACATCTCAATGACTGCCCCATAAAAGTGTATATATAATTTATGATGGTAATTAACAAAAGATAGGTTTAGTTCTGCAAACCCAAATACACAGTACTCTCACACATCAACATTTAAGAGGTCATTTGTTAACTAAGTCAGTCCATTAAATTTCAGTTGCTATTACTGTATGAACCATTTTTTTTCTCTAGCTTTATAATTGCTGAATTATAATGCATTAAATATATATACATGGTGATTTAGATTCTCAAAATTGAAGTTCAATCTGACCCACATCAAATGTAGTTAGTCTAAAGTGCTGTCAACTTGTGTATTTGAGTTTTAGAATTGCATTATTTGATCTTAGTAGCATGTAGCTAACATGCTTCATAATTATGAATATTTACCAGTCAGATTAGCACTTTTGAGTGATATCCTCAGCATTTCAGGTGATTGTTTAATACACAATGAAGAAAACCAGCATACAAATTATAGTGGAGCTTTATTGATAACTTCCTTATTGATTTCTTTATGAAATGTGGTTTATATTTTATTAATGGAAGACCAATGACCTTAATGATTATAAGTAATTTTAAAAAAAAACACAACAATTTGAAACCACTATTGTCCGCCAGGGTTCACAATCCAATTTTGGGTCATCGACTGGTTTTAAATAGGCTGTGCGAATAATGGTGTAAGAATTATGATTATCAATACCTCTTCCTGCATTCTCTTGCCTTTTGGAAACAGTTAATTTATTAGCTGAATTCTGCTTTCTAAATTTTGTATTAAGATTGTTTGTCTCATTGCTATTATCATACATTCATACTTACTTGATATTTGATTCATCACCTGTGGACTTCTATGGACTGGCATGCTCTAAAGCTGTCCACACTACTTACTGTACCAACTTTTCTTCGACAAAAAAATTGTTGTATGACCATAGTCATGATGTGCGTATGGTCATGATGTGATGTCATCATCCTGACCATATTTAGGCATATCACATTCTTTTCTCAAATGGTACGTGGCTTTAGAAGGATTTCCGTCCATATTCATCAGCCATATTTAATAAAACCATCAATTTAAAAGGTGCTTCATACAGTTTCCAAAAAATATATTATTAAATGACATGAGAAATGAACATAATTGTTAGCATAAAACTTTAGCATTTTTGCATTATTTCTAATTTTGCAGGTTTTGCCGACTTGCCCGGTCTATCCGTTAATGACCTGGTGACTCTCAGTATCATCGAGAAATATCTAGAGCTGAAGTCTGGTGAAGTGTGGGCCGAAGTCTTGACAGAATTAGAACAGGAAGGTGTTAGACCAGTCACACCTGATCAAGTGAGCAACCCTTATCATTTACACTACAATCCCTTTATTTTTATACCATCATTGTGTTTTTTTATTTGTTTTTTATTGTGTTTTTTTTTTTGGTGAAATTTTTACTGGTTTTATGATAAATCTGGCTTCATAGATTGAAAAATAAGTGTTAATCATGTGGGGTGCTGCTATATGTTACATCTTAATGGATGGTGAACTTTGGTGGTAGTAACTCCATATCTTAAGATCATAGATTCCCTGTAATGATCTACTAATAATGTTTTATACTGTGAGAAATTTACTTGGATAAACTGAAAAGTGCAAAATTGTTTCTAATAAACTTATTCAGATTTTGTTTAAAAATATTTCAATTTCTAGAAAACCATGAATAATAATTTTGTTATTTTTGTTTCATTGATTATCAGGAAGCAATGGAGGTGATGGCGAGAGCAGCCACTGAACGTGTGAATGCAGTGCTAGAGTCCCAGGGAGAACTTCTTGAATCTCAACAGGAACAAGATTTACTTGATGAACAGGATATGTATGCGGAGGTAATTGCCATCTGATGCTTTTCCCAGGGGAACATGGTTGTACGAATCATTCAAGCTTATGTAAATTCTTGATCTGAAGGAAGTGGCTAATATAGATTTTGCAAAACTGGAGTATTGAGCACAACGTCTAGTCATTTTGGCAACCCTAGAGCAGTCATTCTTATATTATTCGTTAGCTAACAAGAAATAAAGCATTCAATTACAACTTCCACCCCCTCTATAGGAAATAGGGCTTGTAATATGTGTGGCAAAGACAAGCCAAACCAGTCACTCGTCGCAAAAATCGATCTTGAGTTATTAATAAAGAGTTAAGAGCTATAAAATGGTAAAAAATCAGTAAAATACAACATTTCCTTATCAAGTTACAAGCAATTAAACATACAGCTGTTTAAAAGACAATATATGAGAAATCAGCCTTCAAAGTTTATGATTTCGGGCATTTCTCATGCAGAAACTATCATCAAATCCTTAAAAAGTGTTGTTTTAACATTGAAAATGTGGAAAATAACAACACAGAATGATGTATAAATATATAAAGGTTAGTTTAGTGCAATAAAATAGATTTTTTTAAATTTGACATTCAAGCATGTTTTGGCCATTTTCTCTGAAACACGATTTGCGACGAGTGACTGGTTTGGCTTGTCTTTGCCACATATCCATTCCTTCATAACATATACTATTCCTTTTTAATATTTTTTAATATACATGTATTTCTACAATTAAAGATCACCACTTTTGGGACCAGGCTTTCCATGGTCTTTACCAGCTTTGGTCTCTATTTAGAATAATAAAGATACAGGTCTCCCTCAAATTAAAGACTACTTTTGAGACTGGGATTTCTGTTGTCTGTAGCATCTTTGGTCTCTAATTAGAATAATAAAGATATTGCATTTGTTAATGTGGGAACACCAAAAAGTTGTCTTTAATTGGAAGTGGTTTTTAATTAGAGGGAGACCTGTATAAGACATTAATTGTTAATTTGGGACCACAAAAAATGCGGTCATATTGGGTTGAACTCTTGACTGACAGATTTACCACAGTGATCTCCAGTTACAATTGTAACCGATCAATTACGTGAGGTTATTTCACCTGAATATCAATCAGCTTTTATCAGCATTATTCATAATCCAATTAATCTTTCCTTTATTCCTTCCACACTTCAGATTCGCGACAACCATAAACAGAAAGAAAAGGCAATTGCTGACTGGAAGGACTTTGTAGCAAGAACGTCAGACTACTCTGTGCTCAAAGTAAAACACTTTTTTGCTTTCATTGTTCTTAGAAATATTAACGTTTATACTTCCAACTACCTGTACCACATATTGTTTATAGTGATATACCACATCCGTCCTTTAAAGCTATTCTTTGATCACATGGTGAGAGAGTAGCCTTCTACAGGAAGCTATTGGATTAACCTGAAATATAACACATTATTATCTATATTGTTATGAACACTTTGAGATGTTCAGAGCAAAAGGATGTTTAAAATGTAATAAAATGATATTTCCTTGTTTTTTTATACTTATATTTATTTCATTTTTAATATTAAAATTATTTCTTTTTGTCCAACCCAAAAAAAATATTAACCCAGTTTGTGTTAAAATCAGATGAATTTCAAATGTATTCTATTTGCTCTCAGTAACTTCTGATATGTTTGTCTCTAATTTGTTTAATATTTTTCGGTTCAAACCATTTTATTGTATTTAAAATTAATGTCTTGTTCCAAGTTTTGATTGTCATGTCGCCATTCTTTTCTGTAGATTGCTAAGGATATGCAGAAGACCTCAATAGATGTTTCTAGAACAAGACTTGGTATCAACGAAAGGTAAATCTACACACCCTACTGCTAAAGAATAATAATTTAATTATTCAATGTTGTTTTCTTTTTTGATGATCCATAAAACCTTGGTAAAACATTTACTTACACAACGTTTCGCTAGTGATCCACCAGCATTATCAAGTGTACTGTCAATGTTATGATGACTGGAGGCACAAACCAACTTCAACAACACCGAGATGACATCATGACCAATCTGTCATAACATTGTCAGTACAGTACACTCTTTTTATTCTTTACTCCATGGTAGAAGGAAGGAAGAAATTTATTCCTGTATTACAATAATTTATTCAGATTATATAGCTCTCTATATTTTTACTTTCTTTTCTTTTACTATTTTTAGTGATGTATTCCATGCAACTGACCTCCCTCATCTTCAAACAACGGTAAGTTTTTTCTAAATTTTTATGTGCTTGTATTTTGTTATCATAATAAGCCTAAAAGAGAAAATATCTATCATTTCCAAATATTTATCCGGGCCACATTACTTTCACTTTCTATTCATACTCAACTTTAACGTTACCTATATATTCACTTTCACCTAATTTTAGCTTTATTTATGTAAAACACATAGAAATTAAAGCATGGTGTTCTACAGGAATCATAACGTTATTATTGTTGTTATATTATTGTAGTTGTTGCTATTGTTATTGTTATTATTAAATGTATGTTCTGTAACTTATTATTCATATACAATAGGTTATAGTATTTGTATTATATGTATGTATATCACATATTTTATTATATGTATTGAGTTTTGAACAACTAATCTAATTTCCATGAAGACAAATAAATTTGGTTCAAATTCTGGTTAATTATATTTGTACTCTTAGTCTACATGATTGTTACCTCACCCTAAATATATCTCGGTGCACTTACTATTACTATTATTATTATTATTATTATTATTATTATTATTATTATTATTATTATTATTATTGTTTATTATTATTATTATTATTGTTTATTATTATTATTATTATTATTTATTATTATTACTATTACTATTTTTTTTTTTTTTTTTGTAATTACTTTTATGTATTTCAAATAGCCCCATTTCTAGTACTGAATGGTATACACTAGACGAATAAAATTGCTTCTAAAATTACAATTTAACTTCAGGTTTCTGAAACATAGAAGGAAATAATTGTTTAAGATCCTTGTTAAACATAACATGTGCCAAGTCTGATAAGGGTAAATCCCGTTATTTATTACTGACCTGAATTCCCAGGTCTTGTTTTAAGTGCTGGTATTGGTCAGTCCCATGGCCTGGGATTCAAATTCTGGGTACAAAATTTAAATGGATGCGAAAGTGGAAATAATATAGTGGTAAAATATTGTTTGAAGTAATAATATATATTAATGCTGCAAATATTATTCTTCAGAAGAAGATCGAAGCAACTCAATCAAAATGTTGAGTCATTCCCACCCAACCACGTTCTTTTCAGAACTATCTACGTGGTATACTGCAAGCATTAATATATAATATCGTGGTAGTATTATTTTTCTTGTAACTGTGACTTGTTGTAGGTCATTCCAAACTTCCAATTCACAAAGAGTTGATTGGCCGAGCGGTTAAGTCAGGGCACCGTAACCTTCAGCTCTAATATCGGCGCTGGTTCAAACGGCTCACTCGTCAATGGTTCCGGTGGTGGAACAAGTCTTCTCGGATAAGGACTTTAAATCGTAGGCCCATTGTACGCATTTGGCTCGTGTGCACTTTAAAGAACCCGGTACATCATTCGAGAAGAGTAGGGGGTTACCCCGGTGTACTGGTCCATTAAGTCCCCTGTTGTTAAATGGATATGCCACGTAGGACAGTGATTAAGTTCACTTATTGGCATATAAGAGCCTTATGGGTGCATTATTTTTATTTATGCACTGATGTTCACAGTGTAATTTTCTTTTTGACAAATAATTTTATTTGTTTTGTCAACAGTCACTCAACTGGAAACCATATTTATTTTGAGTAGAATTTAATTTATCTTTTAATTTTAGTATTTTGAGAGTTTGCAATAGAAAAGTGAGAAGAAAAGTGTCAGTTGGATGTGTGACAATGGTGTAACAGTTACATAATCTGTAAATGAGATACCAACATAATTTTAAAATGGGAAGTTGATTTTTATTTTTTTCCTGTCTTATTATTTTTTCACAGACATTTCAAGGTCGCAGTATAGCTATCAGAAGCACCCCTCTAAACATTTCAGAAGAAGCTCTGAGTTTTATACAAGATAAGGAAGTCAAACTGAAAGAACGCTCTGCCGTGTTTGTCTAAGCATGTCTACGTTACAGGTATCCGGAGGAGCAGATGGAGCAATTGATAACTATATAACACGGCAAATCAAAAGCAACGTCAACAATGTTATACAACATAATGAGAACTTACTAAAAACAATTGTAACATAATAAATAATAAATCTTTGTATAAATATATATAGTGTATATATGAATATATAAAGTCTCTAATTATTTAGTGATTGCTGGGGTTTTTTTTATTCGCTTGTTTATTTATATTGTTTCCACTTGAATAATTAAGGATATTATGATTATTATGAATTATAATTTAATGTATTGACTGACTAAATATATCTACTTACTGCATACAGACTTTTTTTACTGCTATATATTTCCTGAATTAATTACAGTTAACATACATGTTAATTAAATTTATAAGATTATAATTTATGAAATGTATTCATAGAACAGACTTCTCAAGCACTACGGAGGTTTCGTAGGTGCTACAGATGTACGGAAATAGATAAAAAATACTGCAAAAATTTATCATAGGCCCAGACCCATAAATAATTGTTTTTTCTTGAATAATTGAGAATATTATGATTATTATGAATTATAATTTAATGTATTCACTGACCAAATATATCTAATTACTGTCATACAGACAGAAGATGTACGGAAATAGATACAAATACTACAAAAAAGTAACATAGGCCTAGATCCATAAATGTATATGTCCAGAACAAATGAATTACCCAGGATCATTAGTTACATTGTCCCTAGACATATTTCTGATAAATTATTGTGAAAAACGAAGAAAAAGTGGCCTTAATATAGTCAGGGAGATGCTCCCTCCTGTTAATTATAATTTATTTCTATAATAAATAATAGTTTATTTGTTCTACACCAAGTTTAAGTGGAACACAGGCAAGATAACAGCTTTCCTGTCCTCTATCCAGGGTGGTGTTAGCAGCACCATAATATAACATTATACACCTTAATTACATTGTCCAACTGGACATATTATCGTCATCATCATTGATATTGTTGTTATTAAAAATAGCACTTATTAGTTGGTTTATATTAATCATATTTTGAGCTGAAATAAGCAGAACATTAACAGAATATAAGAGGTTTTTCTCATTGACGGAAGTATTGAATATTGAAAAGATATCAACATTATTATTTCTGTATAAACAGCATAATTGACATGCATTATTTTTAGATAGCTCAAGAAAAGATAATTTCAAAAATATGAATTTTAGAAGTACTGTGTAGCCTTATTAAATCAGGCCTCTCACCATAATTTCATAAAGGGGTTACCTGTGAGGGGGAGGGGTTGACAAAGCCCTCTGGCATGGTCAAGGTGTAGATCCCCTGAAACAAACAAAGAATGGAGTTCGGTCAAATTACAGGAAATCCTGGTTATTTGCTTGATTACTGTACATAGCATTCATTAAGATGTTTCCATTGCTGGTCATCATGCCAGCTTTATTCATGTGTGCAGATAACATTGTATATAAAACACTGTATTTTAAATGATCATTCCATGTTGTAATCTTATGGACAGGAAACTTGAAAACACTGGCTCTTATTTGTGGAAATAAATTTTAAAGAAATTAATAGTATGGAGTTTTTGACTGTGTTTCTAATCTAAAATATAAACGAAAACAATGTATTTTATTTACTTGAATCTCGACATTTAACTGTTAATTTTTCAATGTTTAAAGTAATGATATACAGTAACCTAGGCTACTGTACTTCTAAAATAGGCATCATGTGCCCTAAAATAATCTCATAACACCCTAAACTGCAGCTAACTCACCTTCACTTTCCCACCTCACCCCCTGTCATCCCCTACCCTATATGTTACCCTATCATGTGACAAGTTCATTCCTTAGTTGGAGGGTCTTGTGTACAAATCCCAATGAAAACAATTTTTTCAGACAATACTCAAGGTATTTGAAGCTGATTTTTGTAGTCGATCATTATTATTTTTACTAATTTCCTAGGTTTTTAATCGGGTTTTTAATATATTAAACATATTATGCAGGAAATAAAATGTTATTCTGTGAAGAAATACTATCAGTAGTAGGATGTCAATACACCTCGGAAGTTTAGCCTTGATTAAGTTTTTAAGGAAATATTAAAAGTTCATTCCAGCTTTCATATATTTACTGAAGTGCCATGCAAGGAAGAGGAGCCGGATGCCCTGAAGCCGAACGACGACACGGTGAACTTGGCACGTTTCCCGCCCACTCGAGCAGATCGCCTTGCTCGTGATATATTATCTGTTAATAGGAAAATCGCCGTGGTGTTTTTTGGCTGTTTCACCTTAAAATCGAATGGCCGAAGTAAAATTAAATAAAATAATGTAGCCTGTAAAAGGAAATTAATGTATAATAATGTGCGAAGATACTATACCACTGTGGTTCTCGAACGTGCAATAAACCTACAGTCGTGCATTCTATAACAGTCAAAAGTATAGGCCTACTTACGACAGTATATCTGCTTATATAACTTCTGAAGTGTAATATGAAATCAGTGGCGAATCCAGGATTTCTTGTCGGCGGAGTGTGGGTGGTGAGGGAACACAATCAAGGACCGTTTGGCCCGAGGGGGCGGGACGTGTTCCTTACCCTTCACTATTCCAACTGAAATAAGAGTTTCCATTTTTAATCTTATATAAATGATTTGGCACTTGGTTAGAGACTGCAGTTTATCTGGTTTACTGTAGTTGTCATTGCTGGATGGCTCCTTCCTGGAAATATGGGCGTACGTGTGTTACAGCCCATGATGCTAAAAGCTCAGGATGTAGAAATTTCCAATATTATACCCTTCTCCAAGGAAAATTGAATGTGTACTTGGTTTTTAAAAAATAAATAATCGATGACGTCATATTATTTAAATGTTTCTTTTAATCATATGAGACCGCATATATAGAACTATAGTGAATAATTTACATCGTTTCTATTAGAAGTATAAATTTGCTGCCAATGCCGGTTAATACTCTCATCGATGTAATCCGACGGATACGTAGACTTACTTTATTATTAGCCTAATTAAACATATTTTCCTTGAAATTATGCCATTGATTGTCAAAACCCTATGTTTACATTTATTAATACATTTTGATTTAAAAGATTATCACAATCGTTATTTGTAAAAGGAATAAAGGTTGGTGTTTTGTGTTTTAATACAAGGTACCGTAATAAACTTATTTAAAAAAGAAAATACCAGAGTTATTTTTATCTAAAAACATTTTTGTTTAGAAGATTGTAATAAACGTTGTATTGAAAAATAAAACCTTGATGTTTATGTTTTTAATACAACGTTTATGACAATCTTCTAAATCAAAATGTCCATAGAAATAGGCCTAAGCCTACATATTAAACTTAATTATCGTCATGACAATACCATCCAGACAATGATGGTAGATGAAGCAGGTATTCAATGAAGAATATGAGTAGATGGGCATACCCAATAAGCTTGTCAAAATTGCGTGTTATCAATATGCGTATTAAATTGTGTCCACACTTTTTGACCCATTTATTTCAATATTACACATTTGTTGTCGCCTGTTATTGGAGAGTCACGGTGAGTTTGTCATGATGGCGTAGTTGTCACCATTCTTTGCTACAACGCCTCTGACAGACATCACGGAATGGTTCCGAATTTGCCCGAAGAATACTATCGCGTAGAATGACACGAGTAAAACTTTTCGGTTTCACTCTGCGTCTTAAGCACAGGTTAACTAAAAGTAGGGCGTGCTTCCGTAACTTTATCAAACACTTCATTGTTCTAATACCTATTTCAAGCGGATATTTCATGTTGTTGCCTTCAATTGCGGATTTATTCAACCATTGCCTAGCAGAGGCTTTACCGTATTTCTGTTCATGTTTGATATCAGTTTTTAGATGAGAGTCAATCCTCAATAACAAATTTTATTTTTCACGCCTATAACAATACATAATTACAGTTTCAACCGAAGAAAAAAATGTTATCTTTAAAATTAGTTAACCTTAAAATACTATAATACAAAATACATATCACTTAGCCTACGTATTATTAATTCCATATTGGAAATCAAATATTCTAATACAATCAAATAATCTGTTGCTTAGTGACTCATGAACTGCAAGGACTTTTCTGGTGGGTTTATAATTTATTAAATACCTTACACTATATAATCAATCGATTAATCAATAAATTAATTATAAGGAAAGTTATTCAACAGTGTTTGGGGCCGGTGCTTTTTTGTTTTATTGATTTTATTATTAGGCCTATATATTGAGAACAAAAATAGAGAGCCGTAATTATCGAACATTCCATAAATACAAATTAAACGGGTAGCACGACATTGCTGTGAACGGGCTTTCGTTAGTTTTAGCAAATGACTCGATTCTCTGGGGAATGAAATCTAGGACTAGCTAAGACCAATGAGATACATACTTTACATATACATATTTTACTGAAAACCCCCTAGATTTGATCATTTGCATAGTGGGAAGACGATACGCTTAACGCATGACACACACGATCGTCGGCGGCGGAACCATAGTTACCAACCTGAGAGATTTGAAATGCGTGACTACATCAGTCGGGCTGGGTGGAGGAGAGGGCGCCACGCCAATTCCCCAACGAGATCCAGAGGCGGGCCCCGGTGGGGGACTGGGCACTTTAGTCACTTAGTCCAAGATGATACTATACTAAGTGCGTGTTGGCTGGGTTGTTTTGTTCGGGAAAAAGAAATTTTCCCCGTGGATTGATTCTAACGAAATAATTACGAAAACTCTCTAATGACTAGTTACTGCATGACCGTTTTTATATAGGCCTGTTTAATAAAAACCAATTTCTTCTAATTTTAAATACATTTTCCCATGAATTCGTGATAAAATTCGTTCATCACGCATGGACTTGCGCTAAATGCGTGACAAATTTATGATCACGCATGTGCTTCTGCAAAATGGTGTTTCATCCAAAATCACTTTGAAATGCGGACCGTCCCGCGCGCGATGTGAGACGGTTTCTAACTATGCCGAACCATATTCGCTCTCTGTGAGCGCTCGTCGACGCCGAAGCCGTCTGCTGATTGTCGGCGGCAGTAGTTCGAGCAAATTGCATGTGCCTTTTCGGCTGACGACCGTCGGTGCAACCGTTTGCCCGGCCTAAAGCTCTGTCCAGACTATGGACATCATGAATATATATGGACATACAACCGTTTTTTGTCAAAGAAAATTTGATAATCATTCTGGACAGAGATGTTCCTCACCACAATAATCTCTCAAAAAATGATCGTATAAAAAAAGTCCATCACCCTCATATTAATAACAATTAGGGCCTAAGGACGAATGATATTATTTTCTTTGTAAACAGAACTCGTTTTTGAGTTATTTCTGGCCAAAGTGGATGATGAATCGTTGGTCTCGTAAGCAGAAGGATCATATTCTCCACGACAACGTTGGAAAACAGCTTTCATACCTTCATTGAAGTCCGGCAGACGTCGCCAGTAAATGAACGGATTCAGTGCTGAGTTCAAAATCCCAATGCAAATAGTGAAATACAAGGGCACTGTACCTTGCCAGCATATTTCCTCACCGTTTCTCGACATCTGGACACCAATTCGTAATGATTCCACGGCCCATGGTAAATAACAGCAACAGTAAAGGGCAATTATCAGAGCAAAGCCATGAAGAACTCTCTTCGTTTTTACATGCTTCCGACGTCTAAGGGACGATCGATGCGATTGTCCTTTTTCTTGTTTGCTCACATTCAAAAATATCAGTAGATAAAGAACAATTATGACAGCGAAGATGATAATTAAGATGACAGGGGAAACGAAATGATAGATGTACGCGTACCATGTTGGCTCAGTGACAACAGATAGAAACAAGATGGCTGATATTAGCCACATAACACCACAGGTCGCGATCAGTTGTCGAGATGTTGCTAATTTTTTAGTATACGGGAGTAACACAATCTTAATGAATCGTTCAATCGCTATGGACAATATCGTCAGCATTGATACGAATGTAACGATGCTTCCGAGTATATCTCCGACTCCGGCTCCTCCCCAAACGACAACCGGAAAGAGCAGTCCCACGAAGAGGTCGGATATACAGAGGTTAAATATCAAGACATATCTTGATTTATGAAGTTTCTTAGTTAATACCATAGCGACTAATACGACGGAATTGGCAATAACGATTACGAACGAACAGATGACGATGAACGATAGATAAGTCTTGACATACGATACATTTGTTGCCAGCTCACTAGAGGTAAAATCGGGAAACGTACAAATCGTAGACTGGTTGCTTTCGTATGAATTCCCCGACATTTTGAAAGAGTTTTAGTCTGTAAAAATTAGAAAAAGATTATAATTATGATCTTATGAATAATAATATGTACAGTATTGCAAAGTGACCAACATAATTGATAGCGACAGACACTTGGTTGTTAAATATTGTTATTAGGCGTATTTGGTTTCGTTTTCCACTGAAAAAAAAATGTTTACGGTATATATTTTCGAAACTTATTGTATCCTGATTGTGTAGAAACCGAGAAATTGAATAGGAAAATACTGCTAAATATTAATTAGCCAAATCAGGCCAAAATGTAATGCTCAGTGTATCTCATCGAGACGTGATTAACGTTATATTTATAATATTTAGCAAGGATACAGATACTTTTATGAAGTTTTAAACCACAACCACCATAACAAATCCTCCCCTCGGTAAATGTTGTCAAGGAAACGTTGTAAGAGCTGACGTTATTGAAACTATGTAGGCCTATGTTTCTTAATACTTAATAATATAGAAAACACATGTTTTAATCCTTAACTGGTACGTACTGGTATAGGCATTTATAATGCGCCTCTTCCTTGAAGTTATAAAGCTCACTTCTTTGCCCTGGTCATTGGGTCCACGTGCTTTAAGTAGTCCAAAACAAAATGCCTAAAAATCATTTTTGAAATTAACTTACTTGTTTTGAAGTTACATAAAAGTTATGAACTTGGACATAGAATAATAATTTTACAGCGAAAATTTATAGAAACACTTCCAGTCACTTGAAGTGTTTTATTATTTTTATTATAACTATCTAATATAAAATTAATTCATAATTTGTATGTTACTGCAAACTGAATAAATTAATTTCAAAATTAATTTTTATTATTTTTTGTCATTGTTTGGGGAAAATCTTTAAATTAAAGTACAGCTATTAATGGAACGGAACGGTATTATTTATTTTATATAATAATAATAATTTTATTTTTAAAAATAGGTCTGTCACATTTAAATTTTTAATTGAAAACTCGTCAATATTTTAATTTTATTACCAATAACTTGTTTAAATATATGAAAAGCAATTAACATATCGAAATTTTCTTGTTCGCGTTTATTTAGGCCATAGGCGCCAATAGCTAATATACCTTTTTAGCCCGTTTTTATCTCATTTGTTGATCTGTTTGTCTAAAATAAAGAGTGAAGGAAGTCTAATAAAGGACGATGACACAACCGAGAGCGTCTGTAGTTCAACGAAACACAGTGCATTGCAAAATAGTTTAATATACAATTGGGTTTAACAACAAGTATCTAGCAAATTCATCCTGAGAGCGCTCTGTGGTTTCCTTTTAAATTCTGAATAATTGTCATTGTCTTTTGTTTGTAACTGAATGGCGAAAGTGCTCCTACAGCAACCTTAAGCCCCTTTTTTTAAATCTATTTTAACAAAATATAGTGGTTGCATCTATACCATAATTATCATTAGGGCTAATATTATTATCATTATTATTGTCATTATTATTATTATTATTATCATTATTATTATTATTATTATTATTATTATTATTATTGGCATTATTATTATTATTATTATTATCATTATTATTATTATTATTATTGGCATTATTATTATTATTATTATTGTTATTATTATTATTATTATTAGGCCTATTACTATTTAGGCCTTAATGTGTACAGTAATAGCATTTTAAATTTCACTAATACCTTAATAATATTTATGCATATAAAGATAGATACTGTATATGCAAATAAATCATGTATGCGTTAATATAATTTTGATGACTGCTGGTGCATTTTAACCATTACTTATGTTACTGTGTTTTAACTTTCAAAAGTGGTTTCGAGTCAATGATATATAATGTTAGCGCCTATTTGGAATATAACAATAATTAATCGTATTATAATTAAAAGTCAGAAATCTGTAGGTCTGCAGTATGAAAACATTACTGTATGTAATGATAGGCCTACTCAATGATAAAATAATTATAATAAGGCATACAGTAATGGGCTATTGATAATAGTAATACAACATGAAAAGGATTAAATGTTGACAATAATTTACGATATCTGAATAATGAAATTGTAATATAGTCTGCATTACTTACCTTACAATAGGTATGCGGCAAGAAAAAGTAAGACCAATTATAACAGAGAGAGCATATGCAGAGCTCGCCTATTCACAATAGACATCACTACACTCACTGAATACATATACTCTGCAACAGTTGGTCTGCTCATGGTACTTGGGGAAACGATCTTCTGACGTCACATGTCACGTGGTCTTATATTGTCACACACACACACACCAATCATTAGGTTTTCTTCCTTATAACCAGCCCTAGATCTATGCTGTTGTTATACTTCTAATGCTTTACTTTCTGAAGGAGGTTAATTATAATTGCTTCCAATTTATGAGACAATGATTGAAAGATGATCCTCATATTTTGTTAGTTAAATGATAAAACCGCGGGCATCCAAGGTGTTGCATCAGGTATTCACTGAACAGTAGTAAACTTTTATTTAGACAAGATGACAAGGTTATTAATAACTAGAACACATAAACAGGGACGCATCAATCAATCAGTCTGCAAACAAACAAGCATCAATCAATTAACAATCACAAAATCAAGAAAGCTGTCAATCATTCATCCATAGATCGGCCGACCTACAATTGCGACACAAATGTGGGCCAGGGAACTCATCTCACGCCCCCACCACCACAACCCCACCTGTTGAATTACAATATTAATTTACCTATCCGACCAGACAGTGGCGTAACGATGGGGCCGGGGGCCCTGTGTATTTCTGGAACTGGGGCCCTTTTTGGGTCCCGGTAACCAATTCCATCGTGGGATTTTAGATGTGCATTGTCATTTTAAATGTTTTTAACGACGAATAAATGATATAATATGGAGGGACTTTCACAGTTGGAGGGTATATACCACCTCAAACCTACCATGGTTTTGGGCTGAGGTAAGAAAATCTATGAATTATGGCACATTTAGATGGCCGGAAATGGCACTTCACAGACATAAAATTGTGAATATAATTTTCTTTTTATCTCCAGTTAAAAGTATTTTGACAAATTTAGTGGGCCCCTGGCTGGCAGCTCCCTCTTCCCTACTACTATTTATTCCGCCACTGGATATAGTATGATATGTCCTACAGTCGATTTCAGACACAAATTATGTTGTTGCCCTATAAGAAAATGTATTATTATGGCACGTCTAGATGGCCGGAAATGGCACTCACAGACTTTTTATCTGCATTTTAAACTTTTTTGACAAATTTGGTGGTGTCCCGACCGAGATCGTTATAATAATCGTTATAATATGACAATAATATGACATATGCCCCACAGTAGATTTCAGAGACACATTATGGTGCTATTTATCAACAAAGTTCCTTTTGGTCAGGGTGCTAGATCGAGGAACTTGTGGGTAGGGCCCCTTCGGGGCCCTAGAATTCGGGGGTCCTGCGGACCGCCGCATGAGACCGCATAGGCGTTACGCCACTGCAACCAGATTAATAGCCAAAATTAGCCACTGCAACTAATAGCCAAAATTCGATCTGAATGCACAACTTGTATCGTCCTAACCATCTCTCATTATTCCCACTAGGATTTTTGCCCCGGGACCCTGACCGGAGGTCCTCAGTTTACTTCAGGTTCGTATCTCCTATGTCAGTGTGATTATTTGGTACGAGGGTTTTGAAGTGCACTCGAAGGAGATTAGGAAACTGAATATTTGTAATCAATGGCTTATAATTTATCGTTCTAAAATAGGAGTCTGAACCGATGGAATCAATGGAAACAAATCAAATCAAATCAATTTATTTGAAATCGCTTTTGAATCGGCGGCACACATGCATTGATGGTGCATCCTTATACAAAACAAACAATACTTTTTTACATAAAATACTAACAATTATCAGTGGTGGCGCCAGCGGCCCTGTCGTGCAGGCCAGTGATTTTTGGCAAATAATATGTATGATAATGATGTACCATAGAAAATAAAACTTAAAAACATTGTCTTTGATTTAAATACAGTACTTTACTTTACCTACTTCAAATCCCTGAGCTCACACCTCCCCTAGCCTTACCACGTAAGGCTGAGGTGCAAAAATTTGAGTAAATAGTACCTCTAGGTGGCCGGAAATGACACTTTCATATAGGGAAATTCGTTATCATCACATCACTATTATAGTCAAAATGAAGCACCAACAAATTTCTCATGAACTTTTATCAGCGATTTTCGGCAATCAGAGATCTAAATAACCTGTGTGTGATGTATAATAGTTGGAGCGAATGCAGGATTTGGCGGTATTGGATGCCGTTGAGAGCCCATTATCACCTCAGCTCTACCATGATTAGGGCTGAGGTATATTTTGAGAATATAGACTTCTAGGTGCCCGGAAATTGCACTCTCATACATTAAAAATCCTACCGGTAGGCCTACTATGTTCATAATGATAACAATAATAATCAACAGTACAATACAACATTTTTTTTTCTTAATACAATTTAGGGGGTTATACGATTTAGGTGGTGCGATTGCATCGTATGCACCCCCTGAATCCGACCGAGCATAGAAAATAAAAATTATAAACATTTTCTTTGATGTATTTACTTTACTTTGCCTACTTCAAAGACGGAAGTCCACACCCATTTCGGCCACACCATGGTTGGGACTGAGGTGCGAAGATTTGGGGAAATATTAAGCCTACACCTAAATGTCCAGAAATGAGACTCTTATGTAGTAAAATTCGTCATCAGCACATCACCATTATAGTCAAACTGAAGTGCCAACAAATTTCTCATGTTCTTTTATCGGTGATTTTCGGCAACCATGGAGATCCAATTAATATGTGTGATGTACCATTGAAAATAAAACTTTAAAAGCATTGTCATGTATTTACATTACTTTACCAACTTCAAAGCCGGGAGTCCACCCCAGCCCCACCGTGGGCCGGTGAGGCTGAGGTACGAAAATTTGAGGAAATAGTACCTCAAGCTGGCCTGAAATGACACTCTTATAGTAAGTCATCATCATAACATCACCATGATCTTTTATCAGAGATTTTCGGCTATCATAGAGACCTAATTAATCTGTATTGTTCCATAGGAAATACAATTTAATTGTCTTTGATGTGTGCTGAAAATCTTATACTTTTTTTCATACTTCTCAAATATCAAAGTCACGCACACTCGAGTCGTTTATTATTAGGTAAATCAGATGTTAGATGTACTGTACTGTACTCAGACTGTATAGCGATTTTTAGTTAAAACCTGGGTCAACTTTCAGACATCATCTTTTATAAAATGACATTGCGGTCAAAACGTGGGGGAGAAGACCAACCCCTCTCAAAAATATGTGGGGGACCGTGTCCCCTCCCCAACGACCTGTGCCCATGGTGACTTGTGTAACGTGTACACAAATGCCATTAATTACCAAATTATTTTAAAATGAATTTAATGATGCTGTACTCGGTTAAGTTACGCCTGTAAATATTTACATGTGTAATAAAGGTCAAAATTAGAGGCAGGATGCGAGCTTTTGATATTTTCAAGGGTAAATGAAAAATCAATGTCATTGCGACCTACTTCTCTTTGTTGATACCAGTCATTTGGATTATCCCCAAAATCGGCCCCTAACTTGTAATACAATAATAATAGTAATAATAATAATTATTATTATTATTAAAGTGAATTTAATTATGCTGTACTCGGTTAAGTATGCCTGTAAATGTTTACATGTGTAATAAAGGTCAAAATTAGAGGCAAGATGCGAGCTTTTGATATCAGTTCCAATGGTAAATGAAAAATCAATGTCATCGCGACCTACTTCTCTTTGTTGATATACCAGTCATTTTGGATTATCCCAAAAATCGGCCCCTAACTTAAATACAATAATAATAGTATAATAATAGTATAATAATAATAATAATAATAATAATAATAATAATAATAATAATAAAGATAATAATAATAATAATAATAATAATAATAATAATAATAATAATAATAATAATATTTCAGCAATTCTGGCTTTAGCCATTAGTGAAAGGTATATTACTGTAAGTTAAAAAAGGGGCGTAACCACCCATTTTCCCCCCAATATTCAAAAATTTGTATCTCGTTAACCGTTCCCGAGTTTTTCGTCAAGTGACATTTTTGTGTCTTAGAAAAATCAGTTGTACAACATATCAACAATGTGTTTTCATCCGGAGCCTCTGGCTTCAAGACCTTTGTGAAAATATCTTATTTCTCCATGCTTACCTTAGAAAAGATTTTCTTCCAATTCAACATTGACAGGCATCGTAAGCATATTTTAAATACTCATCTTATTCAAAGCTCACTTAAGGGTGATCTTTGTTTGGTAAATCTTAGAATAAGGTACCAAAAAATTAGTATCATTCTTCATGCCGTGAGAACAAGTTTTGTAATACTCTTCACCCGAAAACAGTCACTTTCAAGATTACAACAGAATTGAAAAGCGTAAATGGTGTAACTTCAAAAATTCATTGGCCTATCTTCAAAACACGGTGTACACGGTTTTTTTTTGGGGGGGTTTTTTTTGGGTTTTTTTTTCTTGCTTTTTCTTGCGTATGCATTAAAATTATACAAAATATTTCGGTTATGAGAACCTGGCCAGGGATTTATCAATTTCAGCTTAGCAATGTCTTAAGTCAAACAAGTTAAGATGTTCCTCAGCAAATATCCTAAGCTGATTTATCAAACCATCTTTGCAAAATCTTAGCTTAAAAACCGTCTTAGGTGGCGCATGTGTACAATTGATTTTTAATTTTAAGCTAAGCAATATTGATAAATCCGACTTAAGCAAAAAAATGGACTTGAGACCAACTTAAGCTGATTTCTAGTTTGATAAATCCGGCCCGTGAGTGATCTCCTTTTTCTGTATTTTGTGTTACATCTACATAATATGTTTATTAGTTTAACAAATATATAGGCTTATAGTTTTGTCTTTTTCATTGTATTATGACTTTAGTATTAATTATTGATAACTCCAAAATGTAAAATATATGCAAATATCGTTAAATGTAAATTGAATTGAGCCCACGACCTGCTTATTATTTATCATATTAATGAAGCCATGCACATTTAAGTGGCGGTCATTTGTGCTTAAATCAGCTTATAATCCCTGCTAAAATGTTGTTAAACTTGAGCCCTGTGCATGCAGACTATCAAATTTTATTTGACAAAATATATGAAATGCCTAATTATGGTCATGGTGATATCATACCATGACCATATATAGGCACATCATGA